TGGCCTGAGCCTTGCCTTGTCGGATTCCTTTCTTTCCATGCCTGGTTTCTAGAACGCGGCACGCAGACCGAATCTTCAACCCCGATCCCTGCGCTATCTCTGCAAGACGAGGCAACGGGAGCTCGGCGACTCCCGATCCTGTGACTGCCGCGGTAGGTGGTGACGGATGTGGCGGGCCTCACCCCTCCTGCCTACCCCCTCAATGGTCGCCCCTGTCGCCCTCGCATCCCCTTCTTGCCATCCACTTCCTCCCCCAGCCCCGACCTCCTGGAGTGGCCAATGCTGTCCTCATCGTCGCTGCTGCAGCGGCTTGAGTTGTTATCGTTGTCGTTCTTGTGATGAATGGTATCGTTGTCGCTGCTGCTCTAATGCGTCGTTGTCGTTGTTGTTGTTGCCATGGATACCATAGTCGTTGCTGCTGCTGCTGCTTGTCTTGTTATTCACTGATTGCGTTTTGGGAGGGAGCCTGATCGTGTTTTCCGTTGGGGGGTATGCATCATAGACTGCGTTCTGGGAAGTATCTGTCACGTGATGACCACTGACCTTCGAGAAAGATCTGAGGAAGCGAGCTTGATGAAATCTGTTGCATGCGTAGGATGGAAACAATGTACACGTGGTCATCCTACATGCAATGCGGGCTTGATGAAGGCAAATAATCAGCTCCCTCCGAGCACAGGGAAGAACGCGAACATAGAGAGAGAAGCCCAAACACTCTTCTGAAGCGACAGCCATGAGCCACCAAAAACTCGGTATGGTCTGAAACAGAGAGCCGTGCACGTTTATATCCAGTGCTCAATCTCAAGAGGAGACCATGGCCTCATATTTACGTGCCCGTGCTGGTACTTCCAACGTGCCGTAGCACGGCATCTGCCGACCAGGAGGTTAAAGGGCCTTGTCCCACTGGTTTCTAAACAACAACAACACTTCAAAGAAGCGGTACCAAGATGGGCGCACACGAACTTCAATCAAGCTGTTAAGAGAAAGCGCTGATTGGAACGCCAAGTCCACGGGTAGCATTTCGATCGTGGGGTTTTGTTTTAATCTCTCAGGCCACCCACCACGCAACCGTCAAGCCACGCTACCTCAACTCCTGACCCTTTGCCAACAACCCGTCCACAGGCAAGGATGACGGGCGTGGTCACTGTCACGTCCTCCGCGCAACAGCCGGACATTGCCGCAGCCAGTGCAAGCGATGAGGCCAATGGGGCCACCATGGGTGAGGATACTGAGGACATAGAACAAGAGCTCTTCGGCCTTCCGGCTGGGACGGATCTCACCTCGACTGAGGTCGAGGCATCGCCTGCGATGGTAGAAGCAGCATTTCAGTCCCCCAATCCCCTGTTGGAAGTACTGGAAAGGCTGATTGCGGCAGGAGAGGGCACAGAGGAAATCAAGGCGCGTCTGAAGGAGGTAGAGGACAGGTTGGGGCGTGAGGAGGGCGGAGATCTCTCTCCCTTACCGGGCTCTGTGATGCATGCTGCCACTTTGATAGCCGAGGGCGAGTACGTACGGGTATTGACAGAGACGCAGGTCGGACGCACCTTTTTCGCCACGGCAGCGACCGCCGCAGTTGGTAGGAAGAATCAGGACGTGGATTCGTTGGAGGAGAGCGTGCATCAGGCCCTCAACCTGGCGCTTACGGTGCTTGGCTCGGAAGACAGCGGAGACGCACCTTGCCCGGAGGATGGAAGCGGGAGCGGCACCTCGGAACGGGCCTTCGAATGCCTGTGCCTGGGCATTGCCCTCTTGAACCTTTACCTGCAAGCGAATTATTCAGGGCCCTCCATACCCGGATCTACCCAAGCCTGCCTGACGTCCCTCCTTGCGCCCTTCCTCCCCCCCTTCCTCCCCCCCGCCTTTCCCCGCCCGTCGCCAGAAAAAGACAAGGGCTGCCCGCAAACCGGGGGGGAGCACGCCCCAGACCACGTGGTGGCGGAGGCGGCCCGGGCGTGTCTGAACGCCGACGGGGAGGGAGCTTACCCCCACTGCGTCCTCCCCCACGCCCTGCTCCTGGCGCGGCTCCTCCTTCATGCCCTTGCCCTCCCCTCCCACGCCTCCTACCTGACCCCGCCCGTGGTGGACGGAACCACGGGAAAAGCCTCCCTGGCCCCCTCCCCCTCCCTC